TTTACAAACATTCAGAGATGAACTTACACACTTGCTTTACTTCTCTCTGGGAAAACTTCCTCGGAGATGAAATGCTGGTTTGGTAGCGACGCTACAAATGCTGAACCAGACCACAGGGCACGCCACAGCCGCTCTATCACGTGATGCATACTGCTCTGACGTGCAGGTCGCAAGTTTTGTGAGGTGCTTTTTTGATATTTAATGGATCGATTACATTTTGTATTTCTCTCCGATATCCGATGCAGTAATTTACGTCAGTATCTGACCGACACCGATACGTAATATCGATCGGTCCGTCTCTAGTACTGACTGTGGGTGTCCTGCAGAGGGAGCTGTTGGAGATGAGGACTCCAGCCGGGGGTCAGCGGAAGCCCAAGTTTGACGGCGAGCCGAAGAAGCCTCCAGTGTGAGTCTGCGCCCCCGATTCAAAAACCTTTATTGAAACGTTGGCGGTCGGCCGCGGTGTCACGGTCGCCTCGCTCTGTGCACTGCTGTCTCTGTCCAATAGGAGCGGCTACCAGATGTTCTCCCAGGAGCTGCTGACCAACGGCGAGCTGAACCACTTCAGCCTGAAGGAGCGGATGGTGGAGATCGGGAAACGCTGGCAGAAGCTGAGCCAGAGCCAGAAGGACAAGTACAAGAAGCTGGTAGAGGAGCAGCAGGTGGAGTACAAGGCGGAGCTGGAGGCCTGGGTCAAGGTGAGGCACGATGACTCCGCCTCCGCTGACAAATGAAATATTAGTAAAAGGTTAAGTTTGTCGCCCCCTGCTGGTCGCTAACATGCCCGTTTCCCTCCTCAGTCTCTGTCTCCTCAGGACCGCGCCGTCTACAAGGAGATCTCGTCTTCGGTGAGTCTCTCACGCCGCCTCACCTGTCCGTGCGTCACCTGGACGACAGCGCTAACCTTTGTTTGTTTGTTTAGAAACGTCGCAGCACCGCCAAAGTTCGCAGCAGCCCCGTAGCTAAAGTCCGCGTGACTGCGAAGGGGAAGGCGGGAAGCTCAAGAGCTGCGACACCCGGAGTGGCGGTGAGCAAGAGGGCGATGGCGTACCGAGCCAAGGTAACGACAGCTACTTAGTCAGAAAGGCTGGGGGCGGGGCTAAGTCTCACGTGGCGTTCGTGGTGGTGAACAGGGTCTGTCCGTATCCCAGCAGGACATGTCTGACTCGGATGAAGAGGAGGAGAAGAGCGAGTCATCGGACTCCGACGAAGACGACGAGACGTCAGGAAGCACAGACAGCGACGACGATGAGGTCAGTCATGTGTCCATGGAGACACGAGTGACCGACTGACCGCGGCGTTCATCGCCCGTCCAGCAGAGACAATATCCTGTTTTATTTTGAAAGTACTTTTTATATAAATATTGATAAATGACCTTGTGGGCGGGGCCCTTTCATCGGTCCGCCCCTTCATGTGTTGCAGGATATAGAACTTCCTGTTTTGTGACCACTTACTGTTCTTTCTCAGAACGACGATGAGGAAGACGAGGACGATGAAGACCAGAGCTCCTCTGAGGAATCCAGTGACTCCGACACAGACTAGCTCCACCCCTTCCTCCTCATTGGAGAGGACAGGCTGTGCAGGCCACACCTCCTCACAGACCAATCATCCTGGCAGACCAATGAGAGGACGTTACGCGGCACCGGCCCCTCCCGCCTTCCTCTGAAGAGGGCGGAGCCTTTTGTTACTCGTGTTTGTTTTTTATCGAGTGTGTGTTGGTTTTTAGCAGATGGGCGGAGCAAAGCTCAGGTGGGCTCAAGTGTCCTTTTCACAAAATGGTGAAGGCAGGGCAGGGGGCGGGGTTTGTACAGTTGGCAGGTGGGGGCGCAATGAGCAGCAGTTCAGGTTCAGCCGCCCACCTCAAATTATTAATAAATGCACTTTTTTCTCATCTCTGGCGTCGTTTGTCATGTGACCACATGGTGACCTTTGACCCCGTCAGTCAGCGAGGACACAGTTTGCGTTCATCTCAGCTTTAATAGATTTATAGAATATAAACAAACATCTGTCCATCACCTCACACACAAATAAATAATCTGACCTTTGACCCAAACACTAAGCACTGTCCTTCAGACCTTTGGCACACTACAGTTCCCATCATCCCCTGCTCTGTGACCCCACCCCCCATTTATAAAACAGTCCCACACATGCATCGCTGTTACCATGGTTGCCACACCTTATAAAAGGGACTGCCCTCCCCATCCAGAAAAAACGAGATCATCCGCAGGGCGACCAATGAGGTCTCAGAACAACCGTCCCATTGTCCTCTGATAGTCACATGATCACAGATGCCTCCAGGTTAGACGCGCCTGTGTTGCCCAGGAAACAGCAGCATCCTGTCAGCTGATCAATAATCGATCTGATGGTGTTTGTATTGATTAACTGACCTGTTTATTGATAAGGGATCAGTTCTTATAGCTATGAAAAATGAACAGTTTGGTTGGAACTCCTTGTGCAGCTATTCCGCTGCTCCAACAGGACGTCACCAGGTAACCATGACCTCTGACATCAGACGGGACGCACGCTCTGTCAGGGCGTCATAGCGTGACGTCCAGCAGCTTCTTGTGCAGGTACTGCTTCACCTCCTCGATGCCATTCAGCTTCTCCAGCTCGTGGTACGGCAGCTGAAGAGACAGGAAACAGCACGTCACATGACCGTGATGGGAGGAGCTTACGGAACAAGCGTTAAACCCGGTCACATTTACAAAAACAGACATTTTATCTCAGAGGAAAGTTTAAACCAACCAATCACAGCAGCTCAAACTATCTGGCCAATCAAGGCGGCCGCACACAAACGGGTTCCCCGAACCTGATGTTCTTTGGCGGCAGTGGGCGGGGCCAAATGAAATTCAGGATTTCTGAAGTTTAATGGCGTTAGCCAGCTAGATGAGCCCGCTCTGAGGGATTGATGGCGTCCAAACGGTCAGCTGGTCTGTCTGACACGAGTGAAGCCGTGAGGTTCGCGTGGTTACTGAAGCTGGACCAGCTGCTACGTGCTGTTAGCTGCAGCGCTACAGGTAACGCCCCCATCTAAACAAAACGATGACACAAAGGCCGAGCTGCAACTTTATTTAAGTCGTTCACAATAATCCTTCAGTCATCTTTGTGTTAAACAGCTGTTTGTAACGTTTGTCGCCTGCTTCGTTCGTCTGCAGCACGTCTTCAAACGAGCAGCAAGTTAAACAAACTGGAATCTGAAACATAAAAATAGAAATAATATTTAGTTTAATACTGTTCAGTCTTATTGGCTGCAGTCAGAGCTGCGGCGGGGCGTGGTCTGCGGCGCGGCTGAGGTGGACACGCCTGAGCAGCGTCCCCAATCACGCTGCGCCGGCTTAAAACAATAAACTGGGTCCTGTGGTTGATGTGTTCAGGCTGAAACGCTGCAGCCGCGCGCAAATCAACAGCTGCAATAAAGAAGCGTACTGAAAACGTGGCAGGTCTGTCGTGCGTCGTCACAGTGGCGCCCAAACGCACGACTGCGGCACAACAGACCCGCCCACATGTTTTTGTCTTTAGTGCAGAAGTCGACTCACGCGGTTGTTTCAGTGTGAGCAGGTTCTTTATCAGGACTTCAGGGAAGCCATGGGGCACTGTCGTCAGCGTGAACAGAATCACAGCGTGATACCGTGTGTGGTGACGTATCCACACGGAGTCACGGCAGGCAGCCGCTCTGTGCAGAGACTTATCGAACGTTTGCTGATCATTTCTGATTATAAACCATCGCAGCGCAAACTTGTCCGCGTTTTTTCCCACAGAGCAGGAAGCCAACGAAGACAAGACACAGCTTCATTAGTCCCACACGGGAGAAACTGGAAGTCAAGAGCAGCAAAAACTCCATATAATCAGACCCACGACAGACCGATATCAGACTGACAGACTAATGTCAGACAGACTGACAGCAGACCGACGGCGAGCTTCAGTGACGGCGTGGGCATGTTTCATTCTGGAGCCAAACACTGCTGACAGATAAAACAGGCACTGATGCTTCATCTCCTTCGATCAGCAGGTGAAAGGTGCTACATGTGGCTAAACTGCAACAGTCAGCGGACAAAAGCATTCATGTCGTCTCTCTGTAATCGTTTCTTTAACATCACTGTTTGATGGCAAAGACTCACCTGCAGGATGACATATCCCAGCAGCCTGAGGTGGCGGTCTCTCATGGCGCGGGAGCCCACCAGGACGTCAGAGTTGTGGCAGTAGTGCCACTTATCATTGACGGACATGATGACCCTGCAGAGAGCACAGCAGGGCGCCGTTAGTGGCGGCAGGCGCTACTAATTCTGCTCAGGCTGGGAGTTTGACTTACCTCCGGATCTGCCTCTGGTCTGCGGGGAGGCCGTCGGGGTCTGGCTGCTCAGGGGGGTGGAGCGGCGGCGGCGACAGGGGCGGTCTGTCGGCCCCCTCGGCGTACGTCACTGCTTTGTAGAATCCCCCGAGCTCGTGGTCCGGCCCCTGGGCCCCCGTGCCACCCTCGTCTTCCAGGATCTTCCCAATGGAAAACTGGAACAGAGAGTCCGGGGCGCCGGCCCCCGCGGGCGGCTGGGTGGTGGGCGGAGCCAGGCCGTCCGAGGGCGGGCTGCTGAGGGTGGAGCTATCCTGACTCTCCAGCGAGTGCTCTTTGGCCAGGCTTGAGTAGTACTCCCCCGCCGGGACGTAGTACGGCCCATAGTTCACCGTGCTGCCATTGGTCCCCGCCTGTGGGTGGCCCGGGTGGGGCGCGGCGCCCGGCGTGCCGCGGATGTGATGGGGCAGGAAGGCCCGCGGCTCCATTGCCCCGCCCATCCCCTCACCAACCTGACACGAGTGCTCGGCGCCCTCCTCCATCGCCACGAACGGAGAGAACTTCTGGAAGTCAGAGGTAACTGCGGCAACCGCTGCATCAGCAGGCTTAGACGCCACAACAACACAGGACGGAGGAACGACGGTCAGGGAGAGGCCGGCTCCAGTGCGGATGGGAAGAACCCGCCCGGAAGTGTCCATCCACAACAGGAAGTCTGGAGAGAAGAGTAATCACATTACAGGTAGCAACACAACAGTAACATGCAGGGGCAGCTGACGGCTCCGCCCCTCTGTGACCCACAACACACACACATGCGTTTGACCTTTGAACTACGTACGCATGTGAAGGCTGCTTGTCCAAAATGTAACTTCCTGTTTAAGCAAACAGGAAGTAGACCACAGCTGAAGGTCAGCGGCGTCTAATGAAACATTTTAACTTTTGCCAACAGCATCAGAAATATGGGAGGAGCTTCTCAGTTACTTTGAAAGGAAGTAGCTCTGTAATTGGCTGTTCAAGCAGAACACATGTGGGTGGAGCTTGAGTGAAGCCATGCCGAACAAAACCAACCAGCCAAACGCTGCACGGTGATCGCCATGTTTTACAGCTGAGCCACCCCCTCCCCCCCATATGCAGCGAAGCAGCTGTTTTAAAATCGTTGGAGCTCCAAATATCCAGGTGAGAGGTTGTGTGCGCAGGCGTGTCCCACCTGTGTAGTATCCCGGGGGGAGGACCTCATCCTGTTTGTAGTTATGTTCTCCAACCAGCTGCCGCAGAGCCTCAGCCACCAGACCTTTATAACTGACAGAGAACAGACCAATCAGAGCTCAGCTGCTGTCTGGTATTCTGGTCGCTTTGGTGTTGAGCACACCTGTCGGTGCTTTCTAATCCTGATGAGTTTGAGCTGAACTGACCTCGGCCTGGTGAGGTGGACGCTAACAGACTCTGTTTACACCAACCAGTGTGCAGGGTTACCTGTACTTGCGGTTGACCTCGTCAGCCGTGAGGGCGTGGTCAAACATCAGAACCTTGTGTGCGTCCTGCAGTCGCGGCCCTGTGTAGTCGCGGTACTCCAGCTCGACAGCGGCGTCCAACAGAGACAAGTATCGCCTGACGATGAGAGCATAGGGGCTGTCTGCGGGGAAAGCAGCACACTGGTCACACTGGCTAACCTGGTACTGGTAATCAGTCAATGGCTAGAACAGGATCAATATTATGAGTCGCAAACCAGTCACAGTGGACGGTGTGACCAGTCGATAGGGAATCGACCAGTAGTCCAGGTCCTTGGACTCATTAGTGCGCCTGCCTATTGGTTCTTGCACTCTCACTACAATCAGCTGATTTTAGATAGATATAATTTTTTATTTCGAACATGCAAATATAATTGAAATAACAACAGAAAAGACAAAACTTAAAAATCATCAAGTTTTCATGTTTACAGCATGCTAACGCTAAGCTAGTCGGACAGCCTGCTAA